TAAATGAGAAAATTTTCTGAGAATTACAAATACTTAATATTCCAATTCCTGTTCAATGTCCTAAATAAAGCTGGCTTTATTTAATATTACAATTATTTTATTTATTTGCGTGCGACAAATAATTAATAATTTTAAGCTCGATAAATATTTGTGTTATTTTCCCTAAAGTAAATATTTGAAGATTCCATTAAATTTGAATTTCATCAAAATTTTAAATGCTAGAAAATTTTGGCTTGGCTTGAAATTTCAGCTTGAAAACTACTAAAATAATCCCATTTATATCCAGCTGTATTTGATTAATTTCTCATATTTTTATTTGCTTCTGCAGCTGTCAGCTCCACAGTGCCAAAGCTAAGCATGTGCAATTCATCAAGGTAGCAAAGCGTTGAGTTGCCAAGCTGCGTGCTGCCTATCAACTGAATCGCAAGAGCAACAATTGCAACAGCAAAAGCAACAACAACAAGAACAGCAAATAAACAGAGAGACGCGCTGACAGACACAGATAGAGAAACAACGCAGAGTTATCCTTGATACATCTCGAATATCGCTGTAGCACAGGATGAAGCTTAAGCTTCATGAGCTTGCGAGAACCCAAAAGTGCAGCTTGGCGTGAAAAGAGTGTCGTAATTTACAGCCGTGCAACAGCTAGAGCCGGTGGCGGGTGGCAAGTGGTGGGCAGCAGGTGGCAGGTGGCACAGGTAGAGCAGCTGCAATACAACAGCCGAAAAGGTAAACAAGGCAAGAGCGGAAAATTTAAGTGCTAACTACAAGCAGAGTTAGAAAGAGAGAAAAGTACTAGCGAGAGAGAGAGAGAGACAGACTGTGGCATAATTAAAACGCTGGCAAACTGTTCTCTAAATTGGCTGTTTCTCTTTCCGGACACGCCATCATAAATTCGCCTAGTGGCCAAAAGCTGGCAACACTATTTTTTCGCTCCTTGCCTTTTGCTGCCCCACTTGGGGCCAAGTGCCTCCCCCCGGACGAGTTGCGTTTGCAATTATTTTGTGCACTCGAAATGCTGTTGAGAAGTGCTGAAGCGATTACGATTCGAATTAAAAATGTGCGCCGTAAAGCCTTAGCACTTAGCTGATCTATTGAAATGTAGCTGAAGGAGAACTTGACTAAGTTTATGCGATTCACATATTATTTATATATAATATTGATAGGATTATAATAAGATTTCGTGCATCTTGGGTGTAAATGTTTAGATATTGCAAATATTTAATTATTCTGGAAAGTAACCCAATTTGCATTTTAATTATTCATAAAAAATAATTGTCAATATAAATAAGTAAAGTATAATCCGATTCAACGGACCGTCGTTATAGCCAGAAGACGCTATAACTGTATAAATTTCCTAATAAAAGTTTGTCTAGCGACAAGAATTTACGTCGTAATAAACGTACGGAAATGATAAAAGATGTCGTTATAACCGGATTCGACTGTATTAAGCTGTCGTCCCTTCTACATCCAAAAATTATTATTTAAATTAATTTAAGTTCTCTCCTTAGTTGATATTTCACAGAGTTTGCATATACAAATTATTACATATTTAAATGATATATTAATATTCAATATTTAATATACTCATTCAAGTCTTGAATTCAGTACAAACTTGATGACATTATCTACCTGAGTTGATGTTGTTTGACATCTGCTTCATGCTCAATGAGGATGGTGAAAATGCAATTTGAGTTACTTTAGTGGCGCATTATGTAAAGTAAAGTAATTGTGAGTTGATAGGTAGCATCATCATAAAAGAAGCTATGATGACAGCTACTGTGCGATTCCCCAGCAGCAATGATGCTGCTAATAATGATGATGATTATGTCTAACTGGCTAAGTGGCACTTGTGTGCTCAAGCAGCGGCAGTTGCAGCTTGCAGGATGCGGATGCTGCTTGGCAGTGTCACGCTGTCACGCTGACACATACACACACATACACACACACACACACATAGGRCAAATAGATAAGCAACCTGTCCTGCTTGGCACTTGAAGGGACACTTACAAGCGTTGATGGCATAATAGACAGCAATTAAGTGAGTCACTTGAGCTGACAAACACAGGAGCTGCGACAGCGGCAGGACTCAAGACAAGGCCGACACGGGCCAAAGGCCACTCTGATGACTGTGCACTTTTGAGCCCAGCCCAGACCAACCCACGCCGAAATGATGATGTGAAATGTTTATTTAATGTGCTGCGCACACAATCAAATTAACAGCGCGCCACTTGCAAATGTAACGCAATTAATAACAGAACTGTTGCAGGGCGTGGCCGAACTGGGCGGGTCGCAGAGAAGGGCGAGATTGCGGAAGCGAACATTGAATTAAAGTTGGCCCAAAATGCAATTTGCATTTGCAGCTGCTGGCTGCTCGCTGCTTGCTGGCTGCACTTAAACTATTTGTAAACTATTGGGCAACTAGCTTGTAAACTTTTAATGCCACTCAACATCTTGCCACATGGCGCACAACAAGCGACAGCAGCAACTTGCCGGCGAAACTTTTCGCATTCCCTGACTTTAAGCACGAAATCAATTGAGGCAAACAATTAACAGGCCAAGCATAGATTCCGGACTCGGGCGGGCCAACCAATGAGCCGGAAGAGCAGCGCCCACTCGAAAATGAAAGATGCCTGAGGGAAGCTCAGTTCAGCTGTTGCTGGCGCCCCGCCCCACGCCCCCTCCGGTGCCAAGTGATGGCTGATGGCTCATCTCTTAGCCAGCATATCGAAATATATTCAATTGGTTGGCTAATGAGCAGCCACTTATCAGTTATTAAATCACAAATTGCCAGCTAATTAACGTCAGCCACTCTGATTTATATATGCATTAGCCAAAAAGGAAAATCCGAAGCGTGGCTTATACAATATACGAAGCTCATCTCGGAGTGCAATAATAAATCATATTAATTGATTTATGCTGAGTGCTTGGCACAATGGAAAAATCATCCCAAGGAACTTTTTGGGCCTTGTTAAAGGAAAAATACAATGAAAATAAAAGTAAAAATAAAAAAAAAATGAATGAATCAACAAGTGAGGAGAACAATCTACGGCTCGGTAAACAGAAAATTATGCATGTATTAATTTTACCTTGCTAATATTAAATAATAAATAAAATATTTAATATTTAAAAAAAATGAATTCACGGGAGTCGCAAAAGGCGTCTATTCAGCCGCAGGACATTTTCTTAACTGTTGATGCTTATCAGCCTTTATTGAACTGCCAAATATGCCAACACACATACATATGTATGTATGTATGTATTTATATTGCTGTCAATATGTTTTAACAGTCTGCACATCTTTCATATGAATTTTCAATTTCATCTTCAAGAACAGCAGCTCTACCGACGTATAAATTTAGACATGTGTGAGCAATGGTATACGTGAGTATGTATGTGTGTGTGTGCGTGTGTGTTTGCACAGCAAGTTGTCAAAGCTGTCAAGCGGAAATCCCCTTTACATCCTTAAATAAAAAAAAGCAAGCAAAACGACTTTTAAGGCTGAACAACGAAAGAAATACCCTAAAAAACGGCAAAGAAAAAGAAAATTGTTAATAATGTATAAAATTTTTTGACCATATTTTTAATATGACCAAAGACAGAAAACAAATTTTAACTTTTGTGCAACAACTAGTAAAGTTTCTTCAGAATTTAACAGACATAAAAGCAGCTCCCTCTCACTCTCACGCACTCTCCCTCTCTCTTGTCTTGCTCAATCCCCAATTCATCATGCTCCATTTACATTTTCATAGAGTATAGCTTACTCATGTCATATGTAATGCCTACACACTCCTCGGAAATATCGAAATAACAAAATTATTGTTATTGTTTGGGCTGCGGTGCGATGGGCCAAGGGAAATTGCGCGGATTTGGCGGCGCTCCCAAGCGGCACACTCTTAATGGTCGCGTGTGTGCGAGTGTATCCATGTGTGTGCGTGTCTGTGTGTGTTTGTGCTTTAAAGCATCTGCTGGCATGGTTACCAAAATATAAAATTCAACAACAAAATAAATAAAAATAAAAACAAAAACGAAAACGAATTACGGCTATGCCAATTAATAATATGGGCATGAAATATGTGTCATCAAAATTGCGACCCAAATTCAACCAAAATACTTATTAAAGAAATTAATTTGGCAGAGCCAAAGCCAAAATGTAATTAATTTTTTAATACTAAATTTGAGTGAAATTGTAAAAAAAAAGTATTAAAGAAAATTATATGGAATAAATTTAATGAAGGAATTATATACAAATTGAGTTCATAAGTTGAATTTAATTGGAATAGAATTTTCTCTTGAAATTTTCATTRAATTAGCATATGAGTTTTATTACGATTTTTTTTTTTTTATTGATAGCCTACAAATTTATAATTAAAAAATAATGAATAAATATTGCTTATTTCCAAAACTAAAAAATTTAAATTATATTTAAGTAATACATTCTTTTTTAAATTACAAAAAAATATTTAAAAAATAGTATTAAAATTTAAAACGAAATAAAGTTAGAAATAAAATACAAATAAATTTAAATTTAATTAAAAAATATATTTCAAGCTAAATACTATAAATTAAAAAAAAAAAAATTAGATTTTTGGAAACAATTGTATAGCTTGTATAGCTTAGCTTCAAATAAAAATATAAAATCAACCTGAAATGAACAAAAAATTGTACAACAAATTGAGGTAAACTTTGGAATTAAAAAAAAAAAAAAAGAGAAGGAAATAAAAAACATTGTAGGGCAGATAATAAAAGGTAAATGGCTTACAAATTATGCAATTCTTGCTTAAAAAGCAATTTAGCTGCGGACCTTTTAGACACCCTCATTTATAAAACTGAGCCGTCTACAACAAACTTGAGCCATCGCAGTTGCCGTGTTGCCAATATTGAGCAAGCAGCCAGCCAAATTGATTTATATGAAATTTATGCAGAGCGGCGCAGTTAGCAAAAGGCAAATAAAGAATGAAAAAAAAAGGAAAAAGCACAATAGCCAACAACGGGCGAGGTCAAAGTTAAAGGCATGGAAATTTATTGGGCAAGAGACTCACCTGGAATCGTGTAGGCCGTGCTCGCCCGACTCCTGTATGCGCATGGCATACAATTCCTGCGAGAAGAGCTGTAAGCACAAAAGTTCACATTTGATGTCATTAGCGCTGGCTGAGCTCAGACATTAATTAACTACTTAGCCGATGATCAATGGTCAGGCACTTATGCTGAAACTCACCTCGCCATTTTCCGGCGGATCTCCATTGCCAAAGGTGGAGGCAACAACAATTAGCAACGCCTCGTGCTCAATGGAGGATATATCATAGTCGGACATGCAATATATCTAGATGGGTAAACAATTTAGTCTAGCAGTGGGCGTAATCAAACCGGGAAACTTGCTTCAGCCAACACTTTTCTGGTCATTAGTAGCTTTGACCTGGTTAAAACACGCAAACAGCCTAAATGAGCTAGCTGAATGGGTGAGTGTTCCTGTGTGTGTGTATGCCTGTGTGTGTGTACCTGTGTGTGTGTGTGTGTAGTTTGTCACAGGTGCTATCTAGTTTTCCAAACGATAGACAGCTGCTTTTTATACCAGCATCCGCTTTCACACACACACACACACACACACACACACAAACATACACCTGCCTGTGGACACTAAGCTGCCAAAAATTTACCTGCCACATTTTGGGCTTATGCTAATTTGTGTAATATGGCATTTTGGTATAGGTCGCAGGTTGCTGTTTATTTTTATATGGTCCAGAGTGCTCTCTTTTGTTTTAATGTCAAATTAGGGCTGAACATGTCGTATACTTAATATTTGCATTTTAGTCATTTCAGTACAAATTTAAGATTAAAATTATGAATTTTTGAATTACATGAGTTGGAATAGAGACTTGATTGCTGCTTTAACTGTTAATGTATATAGCTTTAACTTGAACTCACCTGCGCATTGAACGCATGTCCCAGCAGCTCGCACAATTGCTTGGCATATTGCTCCGACTTGCCCGTCTCGGTGGCATATAGGACTGTTGCCTTGATGCGCTTCGAGAGAGCGCGTCCAAATAATTTCGATGTAAATTTCACAGCACTGCAAGCAAGAGAGAAAGGTGACTTAAATGGCTGTTTGTGTGTGTGTGTGTGTGTGTGTATGTGTGTGTAGTTAACTAGCTATGCATATTCAAGTAGCTCTTTAAAGAGACTCAGGAGCAGAGCTTGCTCACAGCGATGTGGGATCTGTTTTGATTGGCATGCCATATAATTGGAAAATAGTCTAGAAATATGGCATAAATTGCTTAAAGCACATACACACTCACACACACACACTTTTATTGCACAACAGCAGCAGCAGGCGTGGCTGCCATCGTGTTTCTCGAATCCAAACAGCTTCTATGATTTGTTCTAGCTGAGCACATGAAACTTTAATGCAACGTCTAAAAATGTGAAATAAAACGAAAGGGCAGGGAAGCTATATGCTCTATAAGCAGCTTAGCTGCTCGATGTGCCCCTGCTTGACTCATACAATTTACAGAGTCAGTTTTGGGTAGAGCCTCATGGCTCATGGGGCCATTGTTGCTCAGCTGCTGTTCGTAACGTATGCCGAGCTACTACTTAAGCCTAAGAGAAGGACTGTGTAGGTGTGTGCGTGTGTGTGTGCTGCTGCTTATAGGCAGTTTAACTGTAATTCAATATGGCTGCCTGGCGCACATTTCGTTGCATACTTTTGTGAGCAACATAATTTGATTTTTCATAAAGTTGTCGATGTCAGCACTGATTTAATTCCATTTCATCAGTCGACGTGCCGAGCAGAGCGCGTGCTGAAACAATTAAACTTAATTATAAAAGCGACACACACACACACACACACACACACACACACACGTGTATGTGTATGTGAGTCTGTATATGTATTATGCATTTTGCAATTCATTTAAGCATTGATAAAAAGTTCAGCCAAGCTCGTTTTAAATGCAAAGCGTATGTAAGAGAGTGAATATGTGTGTGAGAGTACATGCGTGTGTGTGTGTGTATAAGCATTTGCATAAATAACGATTTAAGCATGTTAATTGACAACTTTTTAATGTAATTCATTATTACCATTTTGACAGTTAACAGCAGAGCAATAATCTGTAAATATATCGACTATCTATATATATATATATAGATATATGTATAGTAGATTTTGCGAAATAAAACTCAACTCGCCTGCCGAACGGTTGAAATAAATTAAAATATAATTAGCTTATGAAAATGTGAAAACGAACGTCAACAACTTCATTAAATCGTAACGATTTAAAGTGCACTCATTAAATAATTATTATTTTGTTTATTTTATTTTGTTCTTTCCAATACATTGGGCAACAATCTGTAGCTGTTGATTAATGCAATTTATTTTTTATATCTGCTCCAGCTGGCTATAATTGCTGATTGGTTAACTGCATTGGCGACTAAACAAAGCATTAACAATTGGCATCGCAATGAGCTTTCAGCTGAGTTACAGTTAATTACCTGTTCTGGATACATTACGAATATTAAACAATGAAAATTTAATAGCTTAAGCCAGATTGATTACTTGAATCTTGCAGCAATTTTGTGAGCTGTTTAATAATATATTAAATAATAAATAAGTTGCAGTTGAGTTATGGCTTCCATATGGCACCGAGTCAACTACGTTTGAAACATAGGCTTCAATTAGTAGCAGCAATGTAATATAATATGTATAATAGGTATAATACATAATTTTTAATTGAAATGAAATTAACACCTTGACTAATGGCATTAATGTAATTTTATAATCAAATCCAAATAAAAATAATTTGATAAACACTTTCCTCTGTTAAATATCTATATTTTATATTACTCATTTTATGTTTTTATTCATTTTAGTTATAGTATTTAATTTTTAAATTTTTTTTTATTATTATTTTAAAGTTTTATAATAAAGCAATTCATATTTTATAAAATTTTTGATTGTTTTTTTTTTTATTTTATTATTATTTTATCTCATATCGCTATGAGCTGCTCAATCTGCAATTAATTACTAAAGCATTTTGTTTGCTCATTTGTTGTGGGTAAATACATGAGCAACTATGCATAATAGCATGTAAAGTCAAATATTTAGCTTATCAGAAAGTACTTGGACTTCCTTTGAGCTAAACAACAAATTGAACTGTTACATGTGACGCCTATCACAAAATGTGTAGCAAAATTCGATAATAATTATATTTAATAATTGAGCCAGAGTCAATATTCAAATGGCAGCTGTAAAACTAATTAGAAATATGTTAACATGTGACATAGTAATGCAACTATTTTATTAGTATATACAAGCTGCAAAATTTGCTTCGAAATAACCATAAAGTGAATATACCACATACAGAAATGTTTATTGTTCACTGCAAATTTGTATAATCTTCATTATGTTATGCAGCTAAAATACACAATGGCCCAAGCTGAAAAACCAGCTGAAAATGCATCAAATTTTCCAGGACAGTTGACAGCGAATGGCCAAGCTGAGCCGAGGCAAGAGAATGAAGACTGGCAACTGGTAGCAATAAACCAGAATCCATGTAATCTACTTAAGAGCTAATCCCTGCTGATGCTGTGTCGTGTGGCACGTCACACTCAGACACACATACACACACACACACATACACAGGCACAATTACATGATTGGCACAGAGAAAAAGTCAAAGGTCGCGCTGTTTAGGTAAATGGTAAGTGAGCGTACTTACCGAGCGATTTGTTTAAAATTGAATTTACGTCTTGGCTTTTTGCCTTTGCTCTCGCCGCGTCCCTTTTTCCAGATGTGTGTGCGCCAGGCGGGATCCTGATACTCAAACGATGGCTTCAAATAGTACAGCGCCATCTCCTGATGAAACACGGGCGTTATGGAGCCAGATAACGGCGGCACAATCCATATCCAATCCGCTGGGCAACCATTGCTAAGCGACCAAACGAGACAAAGCGGAAAACGGAACGGATGAATATCAAGTAATTGTTATGGTCGCCGCTTTGTTTTTGCTTATTGGCTCTAATTGACATAACGCCACAGAGCAGCAGCTGCAGAGCCCCAGTTAATGGCTAATGGCACCGCCTCCCTTCCACCCCTTGCCTAATTGATGGCAGCCAAAGAGATGGAGATACGCAGCGCTTTGTGTAGCGTTAGAAAATGCAAATTGGCATTAATTGAAATACGGCCAAGTATTTTTAGGCAGCCAACCGGCTGGCTTAAACCACGAGCGTATTCTCCGCATTGGCTCAACTAATTTTGACTGCCGCTAAATACTGTATTTAACTTTAAGTGAACACGATTAATAACCCGATTTAGAAGTGTAAACACACGGAAACCCGGCTTTGCTTCTTGCCTGAGGCAAAGTAATCTCGATGTAATCGCACAGTGATTAACTTTGTCAATGACTTTTTGATTCGCTGCTTTGAAGGTTTGGATAAATATGTAATTTAAAGCTTAATATATTAAATGAGTTTACCGTATTTAGCTATGAGAAGCAAAAGAGCATGCGAGTGTAGTTGAATATGTTTAATAGAAAATATTAAATTTAAGCAAAACATAATTTGACTAGCAATGGAACTGAACTAAATTCAATTTAAAATAAATAGATGTTTAATCTCCCAGCCAAAATACATTTTAATTTATTATTTTATTCAAAGTTTGTCAATTAATTTAAGAGGTTTAAATTTTAACGAGATTTCATACAAAAATAAAAATATAATTATATTTAAGTAGAAAAGGACAATGTGTCCTATACTCTTAAATTTTAAAAATGTTAAACACAACATTTTGATTAA